CCCAACAGGAAAAAAAAAAAAAGAAAGAAAGAAAAAAACAAAACAAAAAAAAACACTTGCAAGAACAGGAACATTTATGGAAAGAAACTGGCATTTCTGCATTTCTACTGAAAAAAAAAAAACAAAAAAACCAAAAAACAGTTTATATCAGACCATCCTGTTCACTGTTTTCCATAGACCTCTGGGCACACCACGCTGCTTTGATACTTCACAAAGTAAAATTTGTTCTTTAGCCTAGGTGGGTTAATTTGAAGGGTAACAGTAAGATTAAAAAAAAAGTTCTCTGTAGTCGCAGTCTGCTACTGAGAGGATGGGAGATCACCATACAATATCAGACCTCTGTCCCATTAAATGAACTGTCAGATCTCTGAGAGAAGTTACGAATAAAAAACTAGAGACAAAACACCTTGTGAGAAGCTGCTTGTAGCCACAGAGATCCTAGGGCAAATACAGCAGAGATAAGGATTAGCAGAAATCACTGAAAGCTCTGCAACACTTGTGATTGCTCCTGTTTTCTGGTCTATCCTTGGTCACCATACCACAGAGCATATCTGTGGTCACACACAGCCCTTAGTGTGCTCAGCCAGGATCTCTTGTTTCTCTGCTGCAGACTAAACAACAACAGCTATCTCCTCTTCTTTAAGCCTTCTTAAGTGTGGAGCAGTACAGATCATGAAGGCATGTTAAAAATAAATTCCTTAAAAGCAGTTTGGTTCCCGTATTTATTATTCTTCCAGTGAAAGTAGGATTAGACCTCAGCACAGTCAGACAGTGGGCAGCACCACAAAGCATCAAATACACCCCACAGGACCGTTCCTGCAGCAAGGTTCTCTTACCTGAAGAAAGGCAATAAGGCAGGCTGACTGCTGGCCTCAACCAGCCCTCTCATCTGGAGTCATAGATGATACTATTACGCAAACTTGGATATTTGGCTCTTTATTTTTAAATGTAAACAGAGAAAGAATTATTTAAATACTTTAATACTTAAAGCATACATACAGAAAGCTAAATCTGCAAATAAGATCTAGAATCTTCAATGCATTATCCTAAAAACGTTAGCAGCCTGACATAAGCAATTCAAGTACAGTGAATTTCACATATTTGAAAGAGAAAAAAGTAGACTGTATTACAGAATAATTAAACACCCCGCCATGACTGCCTGTTGTAAAGTCCTCTTGAAAAAAATCCTGTAATACTAGTGATTATGATTTCATTGGTCTCCTTATCTTTATTTTTCTCAGTATTTTTTATCACCTCCAGTGAAACCATAGGAGTTGGACCTGATATCTATGGATCCATTCCAACT